AGACTGAAGATCTAAAGGTCCCTGGTTCGATCCCGGGTTTCGGCAGGAGTTCTGAACTCTGGCGGCAGACACTTTTTGTTTTAACGGAATGAATAATATTCGATCCAATTGCCTGAGAAACAAAACGCATTGGACATGCGGAAGGCATGTGACGAGGTGGCCGAGTGGTTAAGGCGATGGACTGCTAATCAATTGGGGTCTCCCCGCGTGGGTTCGAATCCCATCCTCGTCGAAATGTATTTTTTGTAATCCGTTCTGTAGAAATACCTGTTTCCGAATTCTCGACCTCAGTCAACGTTCTCTAGTCCTGTGAATTAATCACATCTCAAGCCCTTCCTAATCCTTAATCCATCCACTGCAGTGCTTCAATGCCCAACCTTATTTCACAACGGTTGATGTCAGCCGAAATAGCTCAGTTGGGAGAGCGTTAGACTGAAGATCTAAAGGTCCCTGGTTCGATCCCGGGTTTCGGCAGGAGTGCTGAACTCTGGCGGCAACTCTGGAAAATGCAGAAGAATGTAACCCTTTACGTTATAGCACACTGGAACAATTCATATACCAAACAATGCAAATACGTCATAATGAGCGCTTGGAGTAATCCTTCATGCACGGGTATGTCAGGATGGCCGAGCGGTCTAAGGCGCCAGACTCAAGGATATCTTCCTTCGCTGCCATTCAGCGAAATGAGCGTTCTGGTCTACGAATGTAGGCGTGGGTTCGAATCCCACTTCTGACAAATAATTTTCCTTCTGTTTTCTATTGAACAATGACCCCAATTGTTCCAACGGGTTGTTTCATGCGACTGAATGCGCCGCTGGTATAGTGGTATCATGCAAGATTCCCATTCTTACGACCCGGGTTCGATTCCCGGGCGACGCACACTTTAACCAACATTTTTCTTGCATGGGATCAATTCAACACATGCAGGATTTTCACCACAGATGCAGGTTTCTAATGCGAACGGTGCCTCAATAGCTCAGTGGTTAGAGCACTGGTCTCGTAAACCAGGGGTCGGGAGTTCGAACCTCCCTTGAGGCTGTGTCAATTGATGGGTATACTTTTCATCATTTATGACAAATTTCCTGTTCGAGAGATTCGTCGATGGGGGTAAATGGACCGTACACCGCTTTTGCCACGTCGGGTTTTAGATACAGTGACAAAATGTTCGAAAGGTAGTGTACCATGGCCCATTGGGGACATTTGCAATTTTTTATTTTTCGACGTTTCTCAGTGGTTTGAGAGCAGAAGAACTGCAGAAAACAGGAATTGAAATTGTGAAAATTCGAGAAACCGACAAAAAATAGAAGGAATGGAGGAAAATAGAGAAACTTTAATTAGAACGATGACACAAAATACATAAAAATCACAAAAATTCATAAAAACAATAATTAATCAAAATTTCACACTGAATTTTTTGTGTTTTTCATAATACTTTGGAAAAAATTAATTTTTCATGTTTTCACTATTTTTACGATTTTGTGTACTCATTCTGTGCCCTATTATTCTCAATGGATCTTTTTATACGCCCACACATTAATGTCTGTCTGTCCACAATTGTTTGTTGACACGATAGAGAGCTGGGTTCTTGATGGATGGAACTTGGTGTGGGTCTTTGTAATCACCGAAGGATGAAGCCTATTGAAAATCAGACGAATCGAAAAATATTTACTATGAGTTATTGCCCTTGTTCTTGAATTGTTTGTGGACACGTAAGAGAGCTGGTTTCTTTATGGATTTTGACGAAACTTGGTGTGAGTGTTTGTAATCACTTCAGGATGAACCCTATTGAAAACCAGACCAATCGAAAAATATTTATTATGAGTTATTGCCCTTGTTCTTGAATTCATTGTGGACACGATAGAGAGCAGGTTTCTTGGTGGATTTTGACGAAACTTGGTGTGAGTGTTTGTAACCATTCAAGGATGAACCCAATTGAAAATCAGACAAATCGGAAAATATTTGATATGAGTTATTGCCCTTGTTCTTCAGAACCCGTTCAATTTTTAGTTTGTAAACACTCTGGAAGGCACAATTCTTAATGGATTTTTATGAAACTTGGTGAAATTGTTTATTATCACCCAAGGTTGAATCCTGTCCAAAATTAGAATAATCGAAAATTATTTTTATATGAGTTATTGCCCTTTTTCTTGAGAATGCGTTTAATTTTTAGTTTGTAAACACTCTAGGAGGCACAATTCTTGTCGACCTCCCGGACGACTTGGCTGCCATTACAAAAGTGGGCGTATTACGATGGGGCATCGCTATTTTTAAATTTTGGTATGTATTTAAATGTCAACATAGTGTGCGTACTACGAAAGCCTATTAGGGCCAAATTCATTGATAATATTTTTTATTTTAAAGTTGTAATTACAAGTTGTAAAGGTGTAATTACAAGTTGTAAAGGTGTAATAACAAGTTGTAAAGGTGTAATAACAAGTTTCTAAAGGTGTAATTACATGTTGTAAAGATGTAATTACAAGTTTGTAAAGTTGTAATAACAAGTTTATAAAGGTGTAATTACAAGTTTGTAGAAGTAATTACAAGTTGTAAAGGGGTAATTACTAGTTTGTAAAGTTGTAATTACTAGTTTGTAAAGTTGTAATTACAAGTTTATAAAGGTGTTATCTGTTACTACCCCCCTGTCACTATACACTCTCTGCCACAATACCAGCTTACTACACTATCCGTCGCTATACTGACTATTACTATACTCCATGTCACTACACTCGCTGGCACTACACTCTCTGCCACTACACTTTCTGTTACTACACATTCTGCCACTGCATCTACACTCTGTCACTACTCTCCGTGTCTCTACAGTCTCTGCCACAACACTATCTAACTACACTCTCACCACACTCTCTGTCACTGCACAATCTCTCACTACACACTCTGTTACATGTACTACAATCTCTGTCACTACACCTTTTGTAACTACAAATACACCCACTCTCTACTCTCTGTCACTACAAACCATGTATCTACCCACACTGTCACAACACTCCGTGTATCTACACACTCTGTCACTACACTGAGTGAAATGACTGTGAAGTGACTGTGAAGTTACGTGAGTGTAGTCACTACACTCCATGTATCTACACACTCTGTCACTACAGTCCATGTATCTACACACTCTGTCACTACACTACATGTATCTACACACTCTGTCGCTACACTCCATGTATTTACACACTCTGTCGCTACACTCCATGTATCTACACACTCTGTCACTACACTCCATAATTACAACTGTACAAACTAGTAATTATACCTTTACAACTTGTAATTACACCTTTAGAAACTTGTAATTACACCTTTATAAACTTGTAATTACAACTTTATAAACTTGCTATTACAACTTTACAAACTTGTAATTACATCTTTACAACTTGTAATTACACCTTTAGAAACTTGTTATTACACCTTTACAACTTGTTATTACACCTTTACAACTTGTAATTACACCTTTACAACTTGTAATTACAACTTTAAAATAAAAAATATTATCAATGAATTTGGCCCTAATAGGCTTTCGTAGTACGCACTCTATGTTGACATTTAAATACATACCAAAATTGAAAAATAACGATGCCCCATCGTAATACGCCCACTTTTGTAATGGCAGCCAAGTCGTCCGGGAGGTCGACAAGAACTATCAGTAAATGAAACATCTGTCGAAAACCGTGCCATCAAGAATGTTTACAAAATTGAACGATTTTTGAGTGTTTACAACTACAAGTTAAAAATTGAACGCGTTTTCAAAAACAAGGGCATCAATTCATATAAAATAATGTTTGATTGTTTTCATTTTGGATAGGGTTCATCATTGGATGATATTAAACAATTTCACCAAGTGTCATCAAAATCCATCAAGAATTGTGCCTCCTAGAGTGTTTACAAACTAAAAATTAAACGCATTCTCAAGAAAAAGGCAATAACTCATATAAAATAATTTTCGATTATTCTAATTTTGGACAGGATTCAACCTTGGGTGATAATAAACAATTTCACCAAGTTTCATAAAAATCCATCAAGAATTGTGCCTTCCAGAGTGTTTACAAACTAAAAATTGAACGGGTTCTGAAGAACAAGGGCAACAACTCATATAAAATATTTTCCGATTTGTCTGATTTTCAATTGGGTTCATCCATGAATGGTTACAAACACTCACACCAAGTTTCGTCAAAATCCATCAAGAAACCAGCTATCTATCGTGTCCACAATGAATTCAAGAACAAGGGCAATAACTCATAATAAATATTTTTCGATTGGTCTGATTTTCAATAGGGTTCATCCTGAAGTGATTACAAACACTCACACCAAGTTTCGTCAAAATCCATCCAGAAACCAGCTCTCTATCGTGTCCACAAACAATTCAAGAACAAGGGCAATAACTCATAGTAATTTTTTTTCGCTTGGTCTGATTTTCAAAAGGGTTCATCCTTGAGTGATTATAAACACTCACACCAAGTTTCGTCAAAATCCATCAAGAAACCAGCTCTCTTACGTGTCCACAAACAATTCAAGAACAAGGGCAATAACTCATAGTAAATATTTTTCGATTCGTCTGATTTTCAATAGGCTTCATCCTTGGAATTTAAGGTTGTAATATTGCGGTTAAGCAATGTTACGAAAGCACAGGCACAGGCATGTAGGCGTAACCTCTAGTGATAGAGCAATGTTTGTGAAGTTAGTTTAAAAGAATGATATAGAATATTTGAAATGCAAATCCATTATCTTCTGAATCTGAAATATATAAGAAGAATACTGGTTCCAACAGGAACATTAATAACCATGGAAATCATGATAAATATTTTTACTGCAGGTGAAACTGAGGAATTGTCCTATATTAAATGAAAAGGAAAATGCGTATTTCATATAAAAAAATATATATAATTTATTAAGTGAAAATAGTATACATGTATGATATTTTTGCGAGGAAACTCTTCAATGCAAGTTATCATAAATAAGAATTATTAATTAAAGGAAATGTACTAAACCTATGGAACGGGGATGGGGGGTAATCTACCACGGACTAAGATACCATTTAGATTTTTATTACGGGTATAGGCGATAACTAAATCATTTGTAAAGACTGTTGGAAATTTTTCCTGCAATTCTTTGTAAAGACGGATAATTATTCGGGGAACTTGACCAGCTGTGTTGTTGTATTGAATAACAAAAGGTATAATTTGGAAATCAACTTGGATGTTCATTCCTAAAGGATGCATGGTTTGTAATTTGTTTATCCAATAATTTTCGCGAATGAGTCGAATTTTCTTTGTATCAATGCCAGGTTGTTTGTATATCTGTTCAATGGGAATGATTTTCAGGTCTGTTAATTGGTGATCGGGTTGATTGAAGTGTTTTGAAACGGTTTTATTAATTTTTTTTAAGTTGATATCAGACTTATGATGGTTGAAACGGACCCTTAACGAATTTTTTGTCTCCCCAACGTATTGTTCTTCACATTTTGTGCAAGAAATGAGATAAATAATATTTTTGCTGTTGCAGTTGAGTTTTTCATTTACTTGAAATATGGAATCTGTGCGTCTATTTTGGAAAGAATTTGTTGGTAAAATGAAGGGACAGGTTTGACAGCGAGGGTTGTTACAAGGATAAACTGAAGAATTTGGTATTGGCAAAAGAATCGAATTATTTTTAGCAGAGATTTCAGCAACTGTTGAGCTTTTAATACCTCTCAAGAACCTTCTAGAATATCCACGCTCGCGCAATTTTTGGAAAACAATTGAACAAGCCTCCTCGAAGTCCTTCTTGCGCGTACAAATTCGGTGAAATCTCAAGATCTGCGACTTTATAATGCCAGAAAAGGTATGTTTAGGATGAAAAGATGATTTGAATAAAAGTTGGTGAGTATCAGTGGGCTTAAAAAAAACTTTAATATCTAATTGATTGGTTTCATGAAAATTGGTATCTTTAAAAACTGTGGTGTCTAGAAAATCAATCTGTTTGTCGCTAATATTAGAAGTTAATTTTACAGAAGGGTGGTGGCTATTGAGAGTATCAAAATATTCCCAAAATTCATCTATTGTATGAGTCCAAATTAAGAAAATATCATCAAGAAATCTTACATAAATTGGTAGTTTGGGACAGAGGAGTGAAACTTCTCTTTCCCATTCTGCCATGAAAATGTTTGCATAAGAGGGCGCAAAGCATTTTCCCATGGCAGTTCCTGAAGCCTGAAGATAAATATTTTCATTGAAAGTAAAGTCATTACGTTTTAAACAAATTTCCAAAAGTTCAAGAATTTCTTTATCTGGTCTATCAGGATCGGGCTTTTGCTCGAATGCCTGCTTTACAGCGCGTAATCCAGAATCATTGTCAATTTTAGTATACATGCTTTGAACGTCTAAAGAGACTAAAAGGGCATTTTCTGGGATCACGAGTTATTTTACCTTTTCCACAAAGTCGTTGGTGTCTTTGATATAGGCAGGATGTTTTGAGGCAAGAGGCAGTAAAAAGTGATCAATGTATTCTGATACCCTGTACGATTCGCTTCCACAATCGGAAATAATTGGGCGACCTTTTGGGATTTTATTTGGAGAGAACCACTCAGTTTCAGGATTTTTGTGTATTTTTGGGAAGGTATAAAGATGTCTCTGACGTGGTTCTTTTTTTGGCTTTAAATAATCAAATTGTTTTTGCTTAATGTAGTCTTTCTGAAGTAAATTTTTCAAAATATTTGTTATTAATTTAGAAGTTTCTTTGTAGATCGGGTCCTGCAAACGAGTGTAATGTTCAGGATTGCTTAATTGAGATTCGACTTCTTTAACATAATCCTGCCTCTTTAAGATCACACAACAACTGCCCTTGTCGCTTTTCTTGATAACAATATTCTTGTCATGTTTTAGAGCGTTCAAAGCAGTACGTTCCGCGTGCGAAAGGTTGTCTTTCTCGGTTACTATAGGCAAACGAGATATTTCATCATTCATTTCCTGAAAGGTATCCAAAATGCTTTTGTTTATACAACTATCCACGGGTGTGAATTTCGATTTTTCAACAAACTTGGTGATCGGACCACGAGAAGGCGTGTTTCTGTAGAAATAGTTTAACCTTAAATTTCTCTGGAATCTCTTTGTGGCTTCAATTAGTGGAGTGTGTGACAAAGGTTTCTTGGTAGGTATAAATTTAAGCCCTTTATCTAAAACTTTTTGTTTACTTGGAGAGAGAACTCTAGAGCTTAAATTAACAACTGTTTTTCCAAGCTGAAGACAAACATTGGGACCCCCCGCTCCTAGTTTAAAGGTGCTGTGGAAACTGTGACAAAGTTCATCCAATGGTCGTAGATGGCTTTGGCAGTCATTGGAGTCCAATGAATGTCGTCTCCTCTTACTTTAATGATAGTATCTACTGCTGAAATAATGGTTGTATTTGGTGGAGGACTGTTGATTATCAAGGCATTGAATTTCTCTAAATTTTTACTGTCGACTTTATTCTTCAGTTGGAAAGTATGAGCAGTGGGTATATGGGTGATGAAGATACGGGAATTAGGAAACACGGAAGAAGCTAAAGAAACAAGATTGGTTATTTTTTGAAGATAATATCTGCCGCTTCACCTCTATTGTTGAGGCCCACATGAAAAATAATGTTGTCAGGATCAATGCTATTCGATGCTGGTTGCTGCTGGTGTTTTTTAAGAATTTGGATGATATGGTCTATTTTGGCTCCTGGGTATGATTCAACTTGAGTGTTTGAGTTTATTTTGGATCTGTCGATTCTGTTCAGATTAGATGATCCCAATATCAAATTTGATTTGGTAACAGCAGGTAATGACCATGATTCTTTATTTTGGTTGGCATGACGACTTGGTAGTTGCTTAGGATCATAATCGATCTTGCGTCGGGAAGATTTAGAATTCTGCGAAGTTGATTGTCGAGAAGGAGATGGTGAAGAGGTTAAAGGAGATGAACTTGGCTGAGAAGAAGATTGTTGGGAAATACTCGAAGATGGAATAGCCAGATTGGGAGACTTAGAGATAGATTTTGAGGAAGAACTATTAGAGGGAAGGGTGGATGAACTTGTGGTGGGTTTAGTTGATAGAATAACGGAGGTTGTGGTAGTAGAGATTATAGCAGACGAACTAGTAGGGGTGGTAGTACATGAACAACTAGGGGTAATGGTAGACGAAGTAGTAGAGGGTATAGTTGAAGAACTTATAGAGGTCGTAGACGATGAACAGGTGAAGGGTGTTACAGACGAACTGGTAGAAGGAGTAATTACACTAGTTTGTGGATTGGAGGCAAAGGCAAATGATGGGGTTACTGAGAAATTGGTAGTACGATGAGTGGAAGAAGAGAAACTGGTAGAGGGCATGGAAGAAGAAGGCAATGTTAGGGACATAAGTGGGACAGGTTTAGTGGTTGGTGAAATCTTTGAAGTCTTTCTTGGTGTACCTTGGACTGCGTCTGGAGAAGAGGCTGAAGGGCGACGTTTGCGAGTGGGAGTTTGGCTGACATTATTTGGGATACTGTAACGGTTTGTAGTAGCGGCTGCAATGGTTTCTGTGACTTCCATGGAATCGTCAGGAATACCTATGTTACGTATGATGTCGGAATATTTTTTCAAAGATTCGTCGGACAGTTTATGTCTGTAGATGGTTTTGGCCCAGTTGATAGCCTTAGCAGAAAATTCTTTAATGCGAGAATCGGAAAAAGAGCGAGATTTTATGCCATTGATTTTCTGGATCAGCATGGATTCATAATGGTCTTTTAAAGAGGTGAGAATATCTTTAGCCCATGAATGGTTGATAGTGTTGATTATTCTAGAAATCACGTCGTTTCTCATAGCTGGTTTTATGAAGTGGTTTAGCTCCTTGATTTTATGATAAAAGTTTTTAGTGGACGACCTTCAAGCTGAGTTTTGATAACCGATAGGTGATGAAGAGCTTGCAAGACCTGATAAAACATTCGTATTATTGGTGCTTCAGCATTCTGGCTAACTCGATGTTGAGGATTTGATGGATATTGCTGATGGCTAGAGGGTTCCTATTATGCTGAGAGTAATGGTAATTTCCAGAGTGATTCCAATTTTGCTGAGTGTAATGGTTGTTTCTAGAGTGATTCCAATTTTGTTGAGAATTCTGGTGCCTATTAAACTGAGGAGCGGAGTTGAAATGATTCCAGTGAGGATGGGAATGATAGGGAGGGTGGACCGGAGGAAAAGCAAAATTAGACCCTGGATAGTGTCTAGGACCTAAATGACGGGTATTCCTAGCCATGGTAGATTATACAATATCGTCCAGATAGATAAGAGTTATTTAAATTTAAAATTTTAATACATAAATGATAATTCAAATATGTAAATATGTAACAAATAAAAAAATAAAAAAAGTGTAAAACTTACAAAACGAGATCCAAATATAACACAAAAAATATTAATCCAAAATATAGTAACATACGAAAAAGGGGTAATGGGTAAGGTTAAAGTAGGGAGGGAGCGATGCGCATTTCGACTATACAGTCTTCATCAGGCTCTGTGATCCTTGGGTGATTACAAAGACCCACACCAAGTTCCATCCATCAAGAACCCAGCTCTCTATTCGTCTGATTTTCAATAGGCTTCATCCTTGGGTGATTACAAAGATCCACACCAAGTTCCATCCATCAAGAACCCAGCTCTCTATCGTGTCAACAAACAATTGTGGACAGACAGACATTAATGTGTGGGCGTATAAAAAGATCCATTGAGAATAATAGGGCACAGAATGAGTACACAAAATCGTAAAAATAGTGAAATCGCAAAAATTAATTTCAACCGCGGTTGAAATGTATTACCACCAATGTTGAAATTAATTACCACCGCGGTTGAAATTATTTCAACCGCGGTGGTAAATAATTTCAACCGTGGTGGAAGATAATTTCAACCGCGGTTATCTTGCGTCGGCCGGGAATCGAACCCGGATCGATTGCTTGGAAGGCAACCATGCTAACCTTTACACCACCGACGCCGATAAAGGGCCTTGTTTTACTCGTTATAAAAACCTAATCCATGTTTTGACAAGTATAAATGAATCGACTTAAGCATATCCAGCAATGTTAATATGGTACCGCTCCACCCCCGAATAACACTGCAGTAAACTATCATTGTCTCGCTCGCTTGAAGAGGAGGGTGTCGAGTAATAAAATTGAGAGTGAGAAAATAAACGAATGACTTGCCTGACCTTTCCATGCCTCGATAGTGCAGTAGGAAGCGCGTCAGTCTCATAATCCACTCAAGAGAAGAGCAATCTGAAGGTCGTGAGTTCGATCCTCACTCGGGGCAGATATTTTTTCAAAGTAAGAAATCATTTATTATTATTCAAAACCAGTAAAATCTTTATCGATCCATTAAATAACCTAGAGAATGTTGTATGTGATGCAATGACCGTACAAAACCCTGAGACAGCTGTCGCTTTCAAGCCTCCATAGCTCAGTGGCTAGAGCACTGGTGAAGATTCTATACAAGCCTGTGTTGAAAGAGAAGGGAAATACGAAGTTACAATGGTGGATCACAAAGATTTAGAACTTATTTCGGAAAGTGGAATACAACTTGACAACGAGAGACTACAATGCTTCAGAATTGATAGAAAAGTAAGATATGTTCGATTTTTAAACCTCCCATATTACATTGAAGATAGGGCAATAATAGAGAAACTGACAAAATGGAACGTTAAGCTTGAAGGCAAGATTCATGAGCGCATCGACCCCACTACGGGCTGTGCAGATGGCACTCGTTTTATGGAAGTGATATTCCCAACAGGCGTATCCTCACTACCTTTCTCTGTGGGTTTCGAAACAATTGATGGCTACGAATATTTTAAATTGCAACACCGCAATCAGGGAAAGGTGTGCTTCATTTGCCTTAGTAGCAACCACTTGAAAGCAGACTGCCCGAACTATAAATGCAATGCCATGTTAAACGTGTGTGTAAAACTAAAGTATGTGTACAGTGTGATAATTTTGATTATAAGTGCTCATGTTTACATAAAGATGATATTGTAGACCAGTCTGACTCGCCCAGTGAAAGGCTCAGCCGATGAACGTCCCTGTGAACACTTCTAACGATGAACTATTGAACGCCGACCTTGCCAAAAACAAACCGATTGATGAAACTACTCCCATTGCTAATAAATCCAGTCACAGCAGTACAGAACGCGAACGCTCGAGACAAAGGAAAAGAACCCAAATTGAAATAATAACACCCCCCAAATTTGATAATAAGAAAGGAAAAAATGTCATCACAACAAAAGACTCCAACCCTAGCCATAACCCCGACCAAACAGAAGAAGCTGACTCAATCTTAGTTATTTCTAATTCAGACATAGATACCCATCCCCCAGAAAATGCTAACCCCATAACTGAAAACCTACTTACAACAAATGAAAACCCACAAAATATAGACGCTCGCGTTACGGTTTTGGACAAATCCCTGGACAATATTAAAAATGCACTTACTAAAAGAGATTTTTAAAAAACAGAACTTTTGAATTACGTGAATAATAAACGCGACTATTCACGATCGTGTGACAGATCGAAATCAAGGTTTCAAACCAATTCGACGAAAATAAGTATTAGCCCCGCCCGTTTGAGAACCTACTTTAAGGACAAGGAAAACCTAGTTTAAAGAAGACCCCCCCCCCCCCCCCCAACTTAGCAATAACAATGAAAGTAGCATCCTTCAATGCAAATGGTCTCAAGAAACACGAGAACATTCCGAACCTTTTTGGACTTTTTGTGGTTTTCAATTTTGATATAGTGCTTCTACAAGAGACGTTTTGGGACGTGGAAACTACTGATTTTTGTAAAACCCTCTGGAAAGGTAATATTGTCTGTAGCAATTCTCCAGACGGTAGAAAAGGAGTCGCCATTTTGACTAACCCGACAATTAGTAAATTAATCACCAACGTGAACACTGACGACAATGGAAGAATTGCTAAAGTCAATATTACCCTACAGGATAAAGATATTGATATCCTGTCTATTTATGCTCCTAATATTTATAAAGATCGCATAATATTTCTAAAGTACATTTCAGATTATTTCATAAACAATACCAAAGATGTTATAATTGGTGGTGATTTTAATGACGTAATTGATAAAGATGTAGATAGAGGTTTTAATATGCATACTGTAAATATAAGCTCCAATTATTTTAATAAGTTTTTAATTGACAACAATTTAATATATTCCTTTAGATACCCAAAAGGCGAAGAGGGACTTCTGGAATATTTGCAACCAACTCTTTCAAGAACGACAGAAGGCAAGCAGAAATCTAAGTTATGATGCCAATCTTATTCTAGACCTAGAAAGCAGGCTTGCAGAATACGAAAGAATCAAATGCCAAGGAGCCATTTTAAGATCGAAATCGCAGGACGCCCTTGAGTCAGATCGATGCACAGCCTACTTTCTAGGTCTAGAAAAAAGAATTCAGGAGAGCCACCTCATTGATAATGTATTAAACAATTATAATGTCCCTGTAACTAACCCGCCTGATATCATCCAGGCGTGTACGGACTATTATAAAGATCTATTTACAAACGAACTGGAAACTAACGAAGTGAGAAATAAACAACGGACAGTGTGTGACATGATTCGTACACGCCTGGATGATTCAGACAGGTTAAAGCGCGAGGGCCCTATCACACCACAGGAGGCACATAGAGCACTAAATGGCATGAAACTAGGAAAATCACCCGGATCAGCGCCTCTCTATATACAAATTCTTCACTATTTTTTTAAGAAAAATTCCTTAAGTAATTCCATGAAATGTGGCATAATTAGCATTTTTTACAAAAATAAAGGTGATAAACGCAACCTCAAGAATTATAGACCAATAACATTACTTTATGTCGATTATAAAATTTTATCCCGTGTTCTTGCCCTTAGATTAAAAACTGTTATCTCAAATATTGTTTCAGAAACCCAAACTGGCATCCCATCTAGAGATATAGCTAATAACATAAATTCCATTAGAGATGTCATTGATTTTACCCGTTATACACATGAAACAGCCTTTATTTTACGTTTAGACGCTTTGAAAGCGTACGACAGATTACGTTTCGACTATCTTTTTGAAATCTTAAAAAGTTTCAATTTTGGCCAATATTTTATTCAGTTTATATGTATTTTATATTTCAATGTTAAAAGTTGTGTCAAAGTAAATGGACATATGTCTCTGTATTTTCCGGTATCAAGAGGAACCAGGCAAGGTTGCCCTATCAGTGCCATGCTATATGCCCTTACGGCTCAGCCCATTCACGACATTATCATCTCATCAAATATTATTAAAGGAATTTCTATCCCCCACTGCCCCATCCTCATTGCTATACCAACATGCTGACGACTGCACCCTAACTTTATCCAATTTAGAATCTGTCCAAGCTACATTCAAAGAATTAGAAATTTATTGCACAGCATCAGGTGCTCTTTTTAACCCAGAAAAGTCTGAATTACTTCCCTTAGGCACTGCAGTTGATATACCCCCAAACTTAATGCATCAACACCACAAGCCATGCCTATGACAACATTCCATACCTAGAGCTAATAGATGAAGATAATGCCAGGGTCAACGTCCTTAACTGCTCCTCGAAAATATTTTATGATTATTTAAGATCCCAAAAATCAGAACCACCTACATCTACTGCATTTTGGAATACAATTTTCCCCATATTCATTTTGATTTAGTATGGCCTAATATCTCCACATCCCTTAAAAGTAGTGATTGTATATTAAATGACTTTAAGATTGCTCACAATGTAATTTTTACCAATGAAAAACTTTGTAAATATGATATGATTGATAGTCCTA